TAACTGAATTTGTAATATCTTCAACATTATATGTGATTTTAACACCCTGAATACCTTATCTGCAGAAATTTACATTGACGTTGATCCTAGTGTTAAATGTTGGGGCCTTTGGTACGGTGATGCTAGTTTCCAATTTTCTACTAACGGGTTTTAAGCGAATCTCTGCCGTTGGGTGGATATGTGCTGCCTATAATCTAGCAGAATTCGTCGCTCCTTTAAGCATCATGGTAATTTCAAATTCAACTTAATTAAGCTTCATATACAAAGATCTTCAATTTCCCTCGTCCGTGGATTAATTTCTAAAAATTAATGTTGCAGAAAAAGGTGATTACTACCAAAAGTGTGGAGTTTATGTCATTTTCTTTGTCATGTTCCCTCACTCTCTGTGCCACCATGTGGTTCTTCTATGGACTTTTTATCAAGGATAAATTCATTGCAGTGAGTAACCAATTCTCCATTTATATTTTCAAGCACTGTAAATTATTATTGACATATGAATAAATTAACCATACACATATTTTTGTTTTTGGATTATCAGTTACCAAATGTGGTGGGAATTTCATTTGGAATTACTCAAATAATCATATACTTGATATACTGTGGTTCTAAGAACAAGAATACTGAAACCACATCGGAGAAACATCCAGTTCAACCTGATCAAGAAATATTAGAAGTGAAGATGATTGTTATATATAAGTCCGTCGAATCAATTGAGAGCGATATTGTGTGATCAAATCAATGTTTGTGGTGATTTTCTCTTCCAAGAGTTAATGCTTATTCAAGTTTTGGAAATGAAGTAAATTCGCGAGCAAATTTGGTATTGAGAAAATAATGAACCATGAGTTCATGTTTTTCGAGTGTAATGAATATCAAAGAGTAAATATAGTAAAACAATATGCATTTATCTTTCTTTCTTCTTTTTTTTTCGTGTAAAGTAAATAATATCATAGAAAAAAGAAAGAATGTAAGAGAGATCTAAAAAAATTAATCATCCTACCTCACAATATACATGGATTAAAAACAAAATACAAACCTAAAAAAATAAAACATAATCTCTCTTATTTGTCTATCTTAAACACTTAAAGATAGAAGATACAAGAAAATGAGAACAAAAGAAAAAAAATAAAGACATCTTACCACTGACATATCCTGAGATAAGATCTATAAAAGAAATACTAAACAAGACTAAAAATAACTATATAACATATACGAATGATGTATTAATTTTGATGATCATATAAAGGGAAATATATGTATCAACATGTAAGCAATTGTTTTCTTTCCTAGTCTCTTCTATATATTGTCTTTTCCATTCTCTTTCTTTGTCGTTTTCTTTCACTCTCTAAAATACACAGCCGTTTCCATTCTCTATGGTTAAGTAGTTTCAACGATTATCAACCGCTGTATGCACATAGATGGCTATGAACACCACCGGAAATAAGAACACTGACACCTTTAATGGCGTCCGGTTCATTGTTGCCCCGATGAACTTATCCTTATGAATTGTCAGCGCAGTTTTTTTTTTTTTTTGGTCCCCATGCAAGTATTGGGAAGAGGGAAGACAATCCCGTTTATTTCACTCTTTCAATCATTTTCTTTTTTTTCTATTATTGATTAAAAGGAGAATTTGTTTTATTTACTTATTTAGATCATTATTTAAAAATTAATTAAATCAAATAAATTTTTTCTATTGAAAATAAAAAGTGGTTGGGATTTGTTTTCTATTATCATATTTAACATTTTTTCAACTCTATTTAACTAAAAACAATTACATTTCACAATAAAAATTTATAAATAAAAAAACATCTCTACACACCCAAGCCACTGTTGATTGCCAACAATCACCGCTGGCCATCAGAACAACACATGACTGGCCGAATTTGGCCAGCATAGTGCGCGAGATCTGGCTATTGATGACGGCCAGATTTTTGCCGTTAACGACAGCCAAAGATCTAGCCATTAACGACGACTTCATTTTTTTTAGGGGCGTTTTGTTAAATTTTAAAGTTTTATTGTGGGGGGTGTTGTAAATTAACAAATGTGGGGGTTTAAAATAATTTAAATATTTTCAAAAAATGTACAAAACAATTATTTAACATTTTATCCTATTCTATTTAATTATATCTTATCATATTTAGATAGTTTTTCAGAATAACATTTTTTCAAATAACCTACTAAACAGGTTTGGTGAAGTGTTTTCTCCATCAAAGCTTGATCAGTATGGGTCCGTTTGGTTTTTTATTTTATACCCTATTCCCAATCTTATTCTCAAAATAACTGTTTATTTCATTATTTAGGAAATACTATTATATTTTAATTAATTACTTTTAGACCCCTTAAGTTTATTAATTTTTTTCAATCTCTTAAGTTTATTAATTTAATTAAACACCCCCATAAAAAAAGTTTAAAAATTAACAAAAACACCCCCACCCACCCATAGTTGCCAGATTCCGGCAATCACCGTTGGTGGTAGTCAGAATCTGTCACAACAGCGTATAAACGATCGGAACTAGCCAGTAATTCGTTGAGCTGGCATTTTCCGGCCAAATCTATAGTGGATCTGGTCAGAAAATGCCAGATCTGGCCGTCAGTGACAACCAAAGAAATGGCCGTCGTTGACCGACAATGACAGCCATATCTTTGGCCATCAGCAACAACCAGATATGGCCTTTTACGGCCATCGACGACTAGAACTGGCTGTCAACCTGGCCTTTTCCGGCCAGATCCGTGGTGGATCTGGTCGGAAAAGGCCATATCGACGCATGATCGACCAGATCCGACCGATCTACATCGTAACGCCAGAATCTGACCAGATTCTGGCGATGGTTGCTGGAATCTGGCATTGTGGGTGGGTGGGTGGAGGTGTTTTTGTCATTTTACAAAATTTTGATATATTGGGGTGTTTAGTTAAATTAACAAACCTATAGGGTTTTTTTGTTAAATTTTAAATTTTACCTTATAATAATTACTCTACTCAACTACCTAATACTATTTCCAAAATCCTATCCAAAATAACAAACCAAACGGGCCTTGTTTTTAGTTTTTAAATTGTTTTTTTCTGGGGTCTACCAATAATGAGTTCATATGACAATTCCATCTAATTAATTAAATTCATATGTACAAGAAATTATCCATGTTGAAAGCTTAATTATAACAGAGAATATGTTAAAACATTTTGCAATACTGGACAATAGGAGATCGACCGATTATACCGAAATGTACATAACTTAATTTGTACAGCACGCATAAATTACAAGATTACTTCTGCCACACCGAACCACTTAATATTTAAAAAAAAAATTAAAAAAAAAAAAAAAAATTTCCTCTTCCTTGATTGACGTTCTTTGCTTGGTGTTCCCTTCCATCCTCTCAATGCCAACAGGGACATTCAACAATATCTCTCAAACTGGAAACACATCCGAGGATTTAGACGGTATTGCTGATGAACTCGTTTCCTTATNACTAAAAACAATTACATTTCACAATAAAAATTTATAAATTAACAAAAACATTCCTATACACCCAAGCCACTGTTGATTGCCAACAACCACCGCTGCCCATCGGAACGACACATGACTGGCCGAATTTGGCCGGTAGTGCGCGAGATCTGGCTATTGATGACGGCCAGATTTTTGCCGTTAACAACAGCCAAAGATCTAGCCATTAACGACGACTTCATTTTTTTTAGGGGAGGTTTTGTTAAATTTTAAAGTTTTATTGTGGGGGGTGTTGTAAATTAACAAATGTGGGGGTTTAAAATAATCTAAATATTTTCAAAAAATGTATTAAACTATTATTCAACATTTTATCCTATTCTATTTAATTATATCTTATCATATTTAGATAGTTTTTCAGAATAACATTTTTTCAAATAACCTACCAAACAGGTCAATATTTCTGGTGAAGTGTTTTCTCCATCAAAGCTTGATCATTATGGGTCCGTTTGGTTTTTTATTTCATATCCTATTCCCAATCATATTCTCAAAATAACTGTTTGTTTCATTATTTAGGAAATACTATTATATTTTATTTAATTGCTTTTAGACCCCTTAAGTTTATTAATTTTTTTAGATCTCCTAAGTTTATTAATTTAATTAAACACCCCCATAAAAAGTTTAAAAATTAACAAAAACACCCCCACCCACCCATAGTTGCCAGATTCCGGCAATCACCATTGGTGGTAGCCAGAATCTGTCACAACAACATACAAACAATCGGAACTAGCCAGTAATTCGTTGATCTGGCCTTTTCCAGCCAAATCCATAGTGGATCTGGCCAGAAAAGGCCAGATCTAGCCGTCAGCGACAGCCAAAGAAATGGTTGTCGTTGACCGACAACGACGGCCATATCTTTGGCCGTCAGCAACAACCAGATCTGGCCTTTTGCGGCCATTGACAACCAAAACTGGCTGTCAACCTGGCCTTTTCCGACCAAATTCGCAGTGGATCTGGTCGGAAAAGGCCATATCGACGCACGACTGACCAAATCTGACCGATCTACATCGTAACGCTAGATTCTGACCAGATTCTAGCAGTGGTTGCTGGAATCTGGCATTGTGGGTGGGTGGGGGTGTTTTTATCATTTTACAAAATTTTGATATATTGGGGTGTTTAGTTAAATTAACAAACCTATGGGTTTTTTTGTTAAATTTTAAATTTTACCTTATAATAATTACCCTACTCAACTATCCAATAATATTTCCAAAATTCTATCCAAAATAACAAACCAAACGGACCTTGGTTTTTAGTCTTTAAATTGTTTTTTTCTGGGGTCTACCAATAATGAGTTCATATGACAATTCCATCTAATTAATTAAATTCATAAGTACAAGAAATTATCCATGTTGAAAGCTTAATTATAACAGAGAATATGTTAAAACATTTTGCAATACTGGACAATAGGAGATCGACCGATTATACCGAAATGTACATAACTTAATTTGTACAGCACGCATAAATTACAAGATTGCTTCTGCCACACCGAACCACTTAATATTTAAAAAAAAAATTAAAAAAAAAAAATTCCTCTTCCTTGATTGACGTTCTTTGCTTGGTGTTCCCTTCCATCCTCTCAATGCCAACAGGGACATTCAACAATATCTCTCAAACTGGAAACACATCCGAGGATTTAGACGGTATTGCTGATGAACTCGTTTCCTTATTTGAACTCTGCACAATGGAATCAGAAAAATTTTGTCATCATCTTATTATAGATGGCTTGGAATGACATATAATCCCTATGTATGATTAAATATATATAGAGTAATAACCAAGTTAACCATTTCAGCCTTTGTGTTTTTCCAAGCCTTGTCAATCTCTTCAAAAACATCTTTAATAGTTGGCCGGCCTTTGCTTGATTTGGCAACACATAGTACAGCAATTTGTAAGATGGATTCAAAGTCCGCCTTGTTGAGATTTCCATTCAGTCGTGGATCTTCAAAATCTGAAAGTGGGCGCTTTCCCAAGTTTACATCCCTTGCCTACGCAAAATTTTAACAGAAATTTATTATCCGTACTCTATTTCTACAAATATATATTATTTCTGAGATTTTTGATAACTATGGTTAAGTTTTGTGTTTTAAAATATTAGGTCTGACCTCTCTTAAACGTTTACATAATCAGTTGATTGGAAAGATTTTTCTATTTAAAAACTATAATACCCTTCATTTTAATATTGTCCCAGTTTTAAAAGCCAAATTTCCTCATTATCTATTTCCCCTATTGACTTACATAATTAATTTGGAAGCATATCCTAGTACTTTAAATTGCATGATTTAGACTAATGGACCTAAATATAAGCAGCTTAGACATGATTAAATTAATTATACCTTTCTTGTGAGCTGCTCTCTTGCATCTAGATCCAACTCAATGACCTTTTGTCCAGATAAAAGTTGGAGAGCAACAATACCAAAACTGTAGATGTCACTAGCACATGTTAGTTTGGCGTTGGTCATGTATTCTGGATCCATATAGCCTATGGTTCCTCTAACATCTGTAAATACTTTGCTCTCTTCCATGCCTAGCATCTTCGCTAATCCAAAATCAGAAAGCTTGGGTTCCATGTCTTCAGTCAAAAGGATGTTTGTAAGCTATACATGAACCAATCACGCAGCAATATTAGAAGACTAAACAAGAAATATATTGAGTGTTCTCATATATACATCATGTTTATTACCTTGATATCTCTATGGACAATGCAGCCGTCGATATTATGATGGAGATACCTCAGTGCAAGTGCACAATCTCTCAGGATTTTAACTCTTCTCTCCCATGTTAAAACAACGTCTTTTCCTGGATAAGGGACAGTAGTTTAGATGCATCAATATTCATCTTGAGAAAGAAGGGCCAAAGCTGCAAATCAAAATGAGAGAAACTTTACTTAGTAGATGTTGAGCTAGATTCCCGGATGGACAATATTCATACACAAGAAAATGCTCGCCTCCTTCAATGCAACAACCGAAAAGGCAAACGAGGTTTGGGTGCCGAACTCTTGAAAGACCTTCAACTTCCCTTGTAAATGAATCAGTGTTGTTGCTTCTATTCATATGCTTGATGGCCACAACTTGTCCACTAGGCAAAACGCCTTTGTAAACTTGGCCAGCACTGCCTCTTCCCAGGTACTTTATTTCAGGGTAAAAACCAATAGCAGCGTCAATCTCCGCCTTGGAAAATCTATAGAGACTAGACCATGTAGTAGTGATCTCTTTACTAGCCTTTCGAGGTTTGCGCCTGCGGTTTCGCTTGCTCTTCGCCACATATTTAATCAGTGCAAGGACTAGTATCACTGTGATTGTCGCTATGATGATCGCAATTATCGCTTTCAGCATAGAATCTGATAAGCTAAATCATTTCTGTGAGTATGAGGAATCGTAGAGTGAAAAGAAAAAAAAATAAAAATAAGGTTTCAATTGAAGTAGTCTATAGTATTGCTATGAGCAAAAGAATTATTGACACCAAATTAACAAAATTGGGAAGTATTTGCACTTACTTTTGAGCTTGACGTAACCAGGATCTTTTGACAAATAAAAGAGAAAGGTCAAGTAGAAACCCAAAGAGGAAATAGATATATGTTTATATAAAAAATTTGTTAACATTAAAAGGTTAAATTAATTAATGTCTTAGTGGATTAGGATATCTATAATGGATTTTAAAAAAAAAAAAATAAAGACGTTTATATCTAAAAAAAAAATTCATATATCAAAAATTCTCATGTGGGAACATTATGATCTATTAGAATATGGACAAGGTTAAAATTTTTTGATATTTATATCAGCGAAAACTTAAATTTGGATATGGTTCTTACCAAGGTTATCTAAAGACTCAAAACAGTTATATAAATTGCCAATCAAAGACGTTTCAGTCCACTTAGCGGCTGCAATCGAAATAACGGCTGCTAACCCACATAAAGCTTTGACATCAACATCGTTTTCATGATCCTTCGATTCTTCCATCATAGAATTCCTCATGGTCAGTAATGCTCGAGAGCAATTCCCACACCAATCAAACGAAGAGCTTAAGCGAGAACACGAATCTAGGACACTCTGGAACTCACTCCTCTGTTGAACTGTTGAAACAGATAAGTTTGTGCACTTGCTATCGCTATAGTAAAATTTATCAAAGCCACAATATTGCAGGGATACTTGTTTTTGATTTCTAAAAGGGCCGCCGCATTTGTCCCACTGACTTTGTTTTAGAAAAATACTGCCGTTGGTTTGGTTACTTGATCGTTGAGCTAGTGCCAAGGAGAAGGCAACTAGGGCATTTCGACAGCAAAGAGGTGTGGAGATGCTGTCCCATTGGATTATTTTCCTTTTGGGAACCAAGCAGTAACCGGATGGTTGGTAAGAATAATGGAAATCTAACCCACAACCTGCAGCCATTATATGTAACTTCTTAGGGCAAGTTAAGGTAAGAAGCTAGAACCTTTATCTATTTGGCGTCAAGTGCAAATGTTTAAGAAAAAAAAAAAAAAACAACAACAACAACAAAGACACACCTGATGATCGATCGTCTGGTGAAGGCAAAGTATTCGAAGTTGAGTGGATGAAGAAGGCACTGATTATGAAGAAGAAGAAGAAGGCAAGCAGCGATGAAGAATATCTTGTTTTCATGTCCCCTTCTGATCTTGCACCTGATCTATATTTAATTAAACATTTAACCCATCAAGAAGAAAGCCATGTTTGTAAGTAAAAACAAAAAGAGCAAAACCAGCTGAAATTTTTCTAAGTGAAGCAGGAAACATTTATACTTAAGATTGTTTCTTGCATTCATCGATAAAAATTCGGATATTATTCTTGTTTAATCAGCTACCTTGGCGGTTACAGCTAGCTCCCTTAGTCTGGATATTCTCGTGGCATTTTATGAACATATACTTAAATTGATTTTAATAAGTAAAAAGTTTACTTAGTTATGATCTCCTCGATTCCCATTGTTTATTAGATAACAGTTACTTCAACTTATTAATTCTTAGATCCCATCGCCTCATCGTTTGTTGTCAATGAATAATAAATATTATTTCCACGAGGAAGCTAGGATTATCATTGGCATATAGTCTTTTTACTTACTCGTCTTCAATTTTTTTGTTCTGGGTATCGAACATCGATCCTTACATTAAAGTTATCACCAACTCCTTTCTTCAATTTTTTTATATTTTAAAATTTGTCGTCTATATGTTTTCTTTTTCTTTAACAATAAGTGACAAATATTCTTAAAGTTTTCTTTTTCTTTTTTTTTATATTTTTTTATAGTTTAATGTGCTCATTTGCTTATTAATCAGCCATTTTGCCTCTTAAGGCATAAGGGAGTGTTTTTGCAAGGCTACCTTTGCTGGTTACATTACAGTCCTAAAATTACATTGAATGAACTTTAATTATATTGATA